AATTTCCATCAGAAATAACATGTAACCACGAAAAGGGGTTTTATGGACACTTCTATTAATTTAGTATTTCATCGCATTACTGATTTATACACTTATATTAGAGTTCTGGAGAGGACTCCACAAACAATACTATACCAGCAGGTAAGCACAGTGATGACTGGCGTCTGCTACACAACGCCTCTGTAGACTTTACGATTATTTTAGTGTCCTGGTATTTCGCAGTACAACAGTACATGACAACCTGGCTGATAAGATATGGAAGCGCGGTCTGGATCCCACACAGCGCATCTTCCCGAGTCAAGAGTGTTAACTGACTTTGAAAGTCCAGTTTCCACCCTTGCCGAACTAGGCTGGAATTCCTGGGCTCGATCGTAGCGCCACCAGTGGCTATTACGAGTTATGTCCCTTCTAAGCCTCTCCTACGGACTAATCACATTCAATCTCTCGTATCACATGCATTTGCTTCAAACAAAATGGCGGCGCCCAGTCAAAACTATCTGATCGATAATCAAGATCTTTATTGTGATAAAACGGGTTTTACGTCGCGAACTACATCAAATCACGTGAGCACTTGAAAGATTGGGAAAATAACTGTTGACAACGAGTTGGCGGTGCACATGCTTTGCAAATCCTGCAATTGACCGAAATCTGCAGGACAGTTAACGAACCGGACTTCGATTTCGTTGCGCGATTTTGATTGGACGGCGCATAGACTCGTTAGTCCAGCCAAAATGTAACTCCATAATACCAGCCTAGTTCGGCAGGGGTGGAAACTGGACTTTTATAGTCAGTTAACTCTCTTGCCTCGGAAGATGCACACAGCGCTGCAACAGAGTATTGGCATCTGTCTTCATTCTGCTGAGTCCCAAATGGAATGGGATATGAACACGTAGTCTGCATCTTAATCAACAGCCATCGTCGCATAGTACGTTTATCGGTGTGCGATAAAAAGCGGAGAAATGTACTGTTTTTCAGCGCATAATAAATTCTCGGACAACACTTAGAAGTGTCTTTTTTAAAAACCGGTTTAATATTTGCTGTTAAATTTACACCATCAAATAGGAAATCAAATATTCTCCACCTCTGCGTAATTTTATAGCCAGAAGTAGATCCAGTGCCACGTGAGCACAATTCTCGCACAACCTTCACTTTGCCGATCTTAGGAAAATGTGCGTCAGAAAAAAAATCGGCATCCAGGGGGTTAATCAGCGACCTTTTGGAGTCATCTAAATGATAAGATGCAATGGAGCAAGATGTGCTTGTTGCGAGTAGAAGTAGTCGAGCTTGTGGCATATAGGCAATAGCTTGCATGTTGGTGTCTTCTATGTGAGAGTACCTTACCAGCGAGTGGTAGTGAAGGAGAAGCTGATGCACGAATGGCTTCTGATTTGATCCCTGTGGAAACACCAGAAGACGAGCAACTTGATCTTTTGGGGCTTCCACTGTAGCTGCAAACACTAGAATGTAAGATGAGTGAGTGGGTTGTACAAAATTGTTCATTCTTAACCATATGGGAAGCCAGATAGTGGGTATTAACTGTTCTGAAATGTTCTTAGCAATTACAGTTTTTCTATATATAACTCGTCTTCTCATTGGTCGTTCGTTGCACTTTTCATTCGTTCGTTCTTTCAGTCTGTCTTCCGCGTGCAGGAACGAGAACCAGAGAGGATTGTAATTCTCAATAACGAACTGCAACTTGTTGATAACTATTCCACATCAATCCATGTATCACCCAGTGGTGGTATGCATGTCTGGCGTTGTTTATGTTCGTAAACCTTCAAATCAGCTACTGAGCTACGTTTCTAACGTTTGCCATTTTGTTTTTGTACAATATCAATTGATAAAAGTATTCCAAATTTGAATGGTAAAAGAGAGCTATTTTATACATTCCGATGTGCTGTGAAAAGGTCGGGTTTTTTATGTATTGGTCCCACTGGTGGTAGGCACCGCAGGTTTGGCACTTATCCCACTAGTATAGGTAGACAGGAGCCTAGTCAAGCATTTTCACTGTTGCGGAGGCATATACTACTTTTTGTAAGTGCTTTTGGTAAAACCCACGATTCGAAACATTCGTGACCAACTCGTGTTATTCCGGGACAAGCCGAATAGGTTACGGAAAGGGGCGAGTGGTGACGAATGGATTCGAAACCAAGATCAGTAGATCCTGGCACGGCTGCAGATGAAGCCTCTGTGCCCCTGTCATGCAAGCATAAGGTACCAGACTGAGTATCCATGAACGGTTAACATTAGACCTACATGTTCACTTCATTGCTCAATTTCACGAGGTTATTAATGTGTGCCGTTATTGTCAAGATATAGAAATCAGATGTGCTGGTTTGAAAGCTTCATTTTTGTACAGAGAATTTAGAGCATCGATGCTGATTGGCCGATCAGAAAGTTTCCCTGAAGTTGTCCTCAGATCTTTACGCGGAGAGGTATCTTTTTCGGAGTGAAAGATTTGATTTTAAAATGCGATTGCCCAACATAATTATTTTAGTCGAATTCTCATCCGCAAATATCACCTAAAAACGTTGGGAGAGTTTGCTATGTGGAAATCAAACCCCATCTATAATTTCTTTTAAATGGCATGTGTTTGAATCATCTCAATGTTTATAACCTTTGACATATTATATTATATGTGCCTTTAACCTTAAAAGGTTAAATTCTATCATATAACTTCAAATAATCATCGGTAAACTAAACTATTTGAAACAACGCGAAATATGTGAATGACTGCAAATTTCTACCCTGAAGAACGATAAAACAAGTTTTCGTATATTCATAGCCTTCGGCTATACCAGTTAACATATGGGTAACGCTATGTTCCGGGCTTTATCAGGTGTACACGCCCGATCGCGAGGCCCTTCATTAAAACCGAGGGCTTCTGCAAATCATAATGCCTTGGGGAATAATGGTTCCATTATTAGAAATAGAATGGTTTTGTTAACAGACACTGAAAGGAAGTTCGACGTTCGCCTAATATGGGATTGTGCCTTGTTTGTAATTTGTGTAGCTATTTTTATTTAAAGTGTGTACATGCTCCATAGTTGAGTACATCTCTGCTAGGCCTGTATGCCATCTGCCGCACGTTGCTTTTTTCTAAATCGGTATCGTTTTTCATGAGTAAACTGAGTGAGTAAGTATAACGCTGTTTTGACCAGCATTCCTGTTACGTCACGGCTTGTCAGCTTAATGTGGGAGGAAAGCCCGAAGTGATGCAGGTCTCAGACGTTTACCACTTTGGTGTAACCCACAAGCACGGGTATGGTGCTGACAAACCTAGAAACATAATCGGGGCGAACCGGGATTCGAACCCACGATCATAGGCTTCTGGCGTGCACAAGGGATGCAACTCTGCACAGCGAAGTGTGCCGCCTCAGACGACAAAGCTACCCATGTCCCCTCCTGAGTAAACACACAAGGGTGACACGCGACGTTGACAGAGCCGACCACAACATAAAACAAGAGACCAAGATTGGGGCCATCCCTGAGTGCCCTCTTCCATTGTTTAAGGTTTAAGGCAAACCAACGAAGCATGTTGATTGGTAAAGCAGTAGCTCCATTTAACCTTGACACGACCTCCATGCTTGTAAGGAGGCACGGGTGGCCCAGTCGTCTAAGGTGCAGAGTTGCGTCCCTTGGGCACGCCAGAAACCTATGATTGTGGGTTCGAATCCCGGTTCGCCCCAATTATGTTTCTAGGTTTGTCAGCACCATACCCGTGCTCGTGGGTTTCATCAAAGTGGTAAACGTCGGAGACCTGCATCACCTGTATAAGACACCATGTCATTCTAATTATTGTTTTCTGCATTTTCTATTTTTAAAGTCAGTGAATCTTTGTATGGTGTGTGGTTCTTGTTCATCTGTGTATCTGCAACTCTTAGCTATGTAGCTATGCCTACCCAGTTGCTCGATAAAAGGGCTGACATCTGTACCAACATGTTGCATTAAAAGTATAAAGAAGTTGAAAACCATGAGTCAGAATAAAGAAAAACAATGTAAGGCCTAATCTACGGTATACTCTCTCGTCTCTGGGATGACACATTTTCAGACATCAAAGTCTCGAAATATTCACATCCATTTCTTAGAGAGGTATTTAGAAGTTGGAGTACTGAGCAAGGATTTATGGATGAACAACTTCTTTATTACAATTGGAAGCGACGTTTCGGTGTAGGTACAGAGTAAAGTTGCCAAGTATATATACAGGTAGGAGATAATGTTTATACAGTAGAGTAGATACCAGATGTAGTTATACTGGAGAAGAGAATCCTGTTATGTGCACAGAAAGTGTAGTTTACATACTCTGTACATCACCAGGTGCTTCACCTGGCCCACTCTATAGACCCCTAGTGGGGTCCATGTGAGGCGACTAACGGGATCGGGTGGTCAGGCTCGTTGACTTGCTTGATGCATGTCATCGTATCCCAATTGCGAGGATCGACGTTCATGATATCCATCACTGGATTGTCTGGTCCAGACCCGATTATTTACAGACCGCCGTCATATAGAATCTACCTGGTATATTGCTGAGTGCGGCGTTAAACAAACAAACAAACAAACAAAGTGGCCATGTCGATAGTAAAAGTTTGTTGTAGAGTTGAGCTGACAGTTTGGTTCTTGACTGTGTACATCCGCAAAAGATGGCCTCAGATGTAAGTGTTTGTACCTCTCATTCAGTGCCCTACAGACACACGTGCCAGTGTCGCCTACTATGTCTAATTTCTGTGATGCTGCATAAACACGGCACAATAAAGTGTTCACATATTCAGCCATTGTGTGAGACACAATTAGCTTTTGCTGGTTATAAAATGTCTTTTGTATTTCCAGAGGTACTATTAAGTAATAACTCCGAATATCGTACCAAAGGACAACATGCAACAGACGCTAATCGCTACAAGCTTGCTCATTCAACCACGATAATATCCGTTGGCGCAGCCAAGGAGCATAGGCATATCGCTGTTTGGAGCTTAGTGGCATGCTTAGAGTTATTTCCCTTTTTGAAGGTCACCATAACGGGTGACATTTCGCCAGCAGACGATGTAGTAGTTATGGGACGTTAGAGTTACCCAGTGCTCAAGATGGAGACTGTGACAGCCGTGAAAGTGTGCTGTGGCCTGGCATTGTTTGTTTGGTTCCATCGGTGTGCGTCGGCCGATGTTGTCCTTACCTGTGAGTGTTTTTGCCTATTGATTATGGAACAATCTGAGTTTTGTGAACTATAAACTGAATAATGAAATTTTTGGCCTAAAACTTTTCCTGTAAGTGACCGACCGAGTAATTGGAATAATGTTTATGGTTCTGTACTTAGGGGACACATTTGGATTACTCCGACCCACAAATCTCCTATGAAAATTTCATTTGGAATGCAATGAAACGTCCCAATATTTCGTGTATGTTTTGAAATCTATATAGGCCTAGATCTATCGGATATTTATAAAAAAACGAACACCGAAGTGAACCTTCCGCCATATTGGCTAGTCTTTACAAAATCACGTTTCAGGTATGTCGGTTATGAGACGCCTATTACATCAGTGATCAGTGATCACGTATATTTCAAACTGAGCTGCGATAAATTACATACATCCATGAATGCCTCATGCAATTTAGAATCAAATGACAAATGGTCTTTGTCACTAAGAAAAATCGTCTTGATGAAACCAAGCGAAATAAATTAGGTGTGAAAAGGAACGCTGACTGCTGAACTCGGAAAACAGTAGTAGATTTTTTACTGTGTAGCATTTAGTGATATTATTTGTCCTATTTTAAGAGATCCTTTCTTCTATTTGTTGCATATATTGGCTCACGTTTTTAGAATATCCATAGGAAGAGTATGGTAGCAAGAATTAGGGAATTAAAAATAGATACATTACAATGAGTTGGTAAATTTCACAGAAATAACGGTGAATAAAAATGAATACATACATGTCCAATATCAAAATTTGGTTTGGTTTGAAATATTCTTTTGAGTATTTGATTTACGTGAACTGGATGCCTAACAGGTGCACGTCTTGCAGGGTAAACTCTTTATAAATCTATTCAACTTTCAAAACAGTATTTTTGTGTTAAAAACAGTCATTCTATGTTGTGTCGAGAACGCCTCAAATTCTCTTTTACACATCGACTTTCACCGACGCCACGAAAGACATAAAACAAGCCATGACGTCAAACGAAAATGTGTAATTTTGCTGGTTGTCTATTAAAATTGGTGCAACAATAGTGAAATTACACTTACACAATCACTTACACATGAATGCAAGAAGCCAAGGCCTGATTTACATGTTAGATAGGGCGATCCATTTCGCTTTAATTCCTTTTTTTTATGTAGTGAATTATTTCTAATGGTTTGTGATAATACCTTAACGTAAACGGTTTCAGTATCGATATTTGTTTTGGCATAGTTTGGTTCCTGGTGAACAAAACAATTACGACATTTTTGTGTGTCTTCATCCATAGCAAATTCTCACCGAGTGAGTTGAGTTATAATGGACTAGTTCTCAGCATAGCCGAGATATGCCCCCTTTTCTTTGTGCATGTGTCATTGATGTTGTTTCATTTACAGCAAGCCATGTTTCGTATTGGATGTATAACTGCGTTTACATAAGCATATACATCCATTACGAGAGATATTAGGCAGTATTTTGTTCGCTCATAGTTAACATAAGTCTGGAAATCGTTGCAGAATACTTTCATCTGTTTATGATAAGAATTGGCGAAATTTACTGCTTCTTTACGCCAAACAAAATATCGGACTACATTTGGAACCGGGTTTTTTTCAAACCAGATTAATAATGGCAGTTAATTTTACACCGTCAGAGAGGAAAGCTAGTTTTGTACATCCCTGCGTAAAGCTTGTAACGCCGAGGTCCCGGTTGCGATTCCCCACATGGGTAGATGTGGAAAGCCCATTTCTTGTGTCCACCATGATATTGCTGAAATGTTACCAAAAAAGGCATAAACCAGCGTTAGAAATTGGCACAAGTCCTGTAGTCCTTACCAAACTGCCCAAAAGTAAAGGTATCTTTAGGACTAGTAGAAATTGGCTCATTTTAAGGGTTTTGCTATGTTATCATTGGCAGGACTAGTGGACAAAAACTGTTAGAACCCCTGATAAACCCAAACAATCTGACCCGTGAAGATTCCGGGGTAGAATAGGTCTTCAGCAAACCATGCTTGTCTTCAAAGGCGACTGTGCTTGTTGTAAAAGGCGACTAACAGGATCGGGTGGTCAGGCTCGCTGACTTGGTTGATACATGTCATCGATGCCAATTGCGTGGATCAATGCTCATGATATCAATCACTGGATTGTCTTGTCCAGACTCGATTTTTTACAGACCGCCGTCATATAGCTGGAATATTGCTGAGTGCGGCGTTAAACAGAAAACCAACCAACCAAACAATCTGACTCTGTGGCACATGCCACTATGCAAACAATCAATCCCTAAATCTAAAGTTTACCTTCCTTCTTGAGGATGTTAATATCTACACACATCTATACACCTATACGTATGTATCTTGGTGGTGTGTTTCAGATTACATGGAAGAATCCTGCGGTCGCACGATCAAATTCAGCTCAGTGGACACAACTGAGTTTGTGTTTAACCTAACAAGAGATGGGAGCAGATTCTCTGCCAACATGTACTGTCCAGTAGTAATACTAGCAGATACTGGATTCAAGATAATGTTCAAATTCACGAGGTTAGATTTTTCATCGTCTACACATTACATGGCTTTATACAGCACAGCCATAGGTTGGCGTTATGGTGAGTTGACCCCATTCCCTCAACAACTAATATTTGGGTTATGGAACTAAGATTGTCAAAACTGGAAACTCAAAATATATTTATACAATGTTTTATTTACCAAGAAAACCGGTATGGTATTTGACTGATATTTGATTGACTGCCAAAAGCACACTGCAAAACGACGTCAACAGGAAACTATCGCTTCAGTGAGTGTGTTTAACGCCGCTTTTAACAGTAGTCCAGTTATATCGCGGCGTGTCAGCTTAATGTGGGAGGAAAGCCCGAAGTGATGCAGGTCTCAGACGTTTACCACTTCGGTGAAACCCACGAGCACGGGTATGGTGCTGACAAACCTAGAAACATAATTGGGGCGAACCAGGATTCGAACCCACAAACGTAGGGTCTCGCACTTGCCAACGTCGAACTCGCCTGACCCATGTCAACTCGTTACTTGTCAACCTGTCAACATCCACGACAGGGTTGACGTGCTCTGATAACATGCAGTTCTCTTCATCTCCCATACAAAGTCTATCGACATACCCTGTGTCCCAGTGCCGTCGCAGTTTCGGAAATGAATGGTCCGGATATGGCGGTCTTCAGTGGGAGTGGTCTCCCGCTTCTACGACTGTCTGATTTCTGTCGTGTCTGTTGTCAACGTTGCATCAATCTGGTAATGGTGACGCGGGTGCATTGTGCCGTTCTTGCATTGGCGGCAAGCGTTGCTCCTAGTCGCCCAATACCAAAGGCCCTCTCCCTCCGTATAGTGTTTGAACACGGCAAACTTTCTTGATGCTTTTGATTGCGTTCATAACGTGCCGTGTCATCAGTATGTTTTATACAGTACTTTTGCACGTACATTTCGTTCTACGTAGCACAAAGTTTTCTGGCAAAATGCACGATTTTCACCCAAACAAATTTTGCTTTTTGTCACCGAATACCTTGGTTGTATTCGTGCGACATATTTAAGTCTTCTATCAAAACAGTGGAAATCCTTTTAGTTGGTATACTTTCTTTTGAACATAAGTTTAATTCAAAGACCATTTTTTCATTGTTTTATATGTCAACTTTTGACATTGTGACATTTTCTGTGGCTATTTTGCAGGCATAGATACGTTTATATACCCCCTTTTAAACACGCGTAACCCCCTTTGTCTTCGTAACAATAATCGTTCCTAAGTTAGTTTTTTTTAACGAACTGGGTCGAACCTACTGGATCTACTGTAGGCATTTTCTATAATCATGTATTGTCGTTCCATATTAGACTCGGGCGGTCGGGTAGCCTGGTGGAAAAAGCATTCGCTCGTCACCCCCGAAGACCCGGGTTCTAATCCCGACATGGGTACATTTCTGGTGTCCAACGCTGTGACATTGCTGGAATATTGCTAAAGCGGCGTAAAACCATACTCACTCACTCACCCATATAAGGTGAGGTGAAATTGGGTTTAACGTCGCATCCAAGATTATTGCACTTTTATAGCGACGTGCATACACGTGTGTGTGTGTGGCTGCTTGTACAAGTCCGGACTGATGCCGATTTATAGTGCTAGCCCACTGAAATACCATGCCGCAGTTTAACATGAATACCCCACTCAGACACAGTATACTGACTCCGAGCCGACCAGTCCTTGTTTGAGCCCCTTAATGCCGAGCGCCAGACAGGGTAACAACAAGTACCATATTTTAACGTCTTTTGGTATGACGCGGCCGGGGTTCGAACCCCGAACCTTCCGCTCTCCGGGCGGACGCTCTACCACTAGACCACGGAGGCGGTTCACCCATATTAGACTCTTTGAGACATTTAATGCAGCACCTGTGCTTGTGAGGAGAGACGTTCCAGGGATGTTTACATAAGAACATAATGTGGACAAGCCTTCATGGATTTAAACTTAGTTTAGTTTATACAAGTCAAAATTTGCCAAGAATCATCACTTTAAAATGTAATGTGTCATATTGTGTGCATCTGTTGATAAAGCCAAAGGCAGTGTTTCTTGAAGTCATGTTTAATGAACAAAAGCCTGTTGTCGTGTGCCACACAATGCCAACAAGCAACACGTGACCAATAATCAGTCAGATCCCCCGTCAAAATGATAGTTTCTGAAATATCAAAAAATCCCGAGAACAAATTCATTGTAAAAAAACAACTCTCAATAACGTGTATTGATTCATATGATGAGATCGTCGTCTAATGGTCCCAATATGTGTCTGGATGGGAAGATTGAGCCACTCTTCAGTAACAGCTTTGGCGAGTTCCTGTAGAGTTGCCTGAAGCACAGGGCGTCGTGAGAGCGCGGTCTGCAGCTCGTTCAACATGTTCGATAGGTGTGTGTTGAGGTCTTGTGATCACCCCATGCGGACAATATTATAGTGTCCTGCAACAAGTAGACATCAACGACCCTGGCACGATGAGGTCATGCGCCATCGTCAATGAGGATGACGTCCTGTCCGATTGCGCAAAACGTACACATCCAGAATGTCATCCATGTAGGACATGGAGATGGAGCCCCAGTGATCCTAACTCAAATCATGATTGAGCCCCCTCCTTAGCGGTCATGTTGGGGTATGTTGGGAACCTGATTTTTGTCTCCTTGTCTACGTACTCGGGCACGACGATTTGTGATGTATCAGCCCAATCCAACGTGCCTGCCTGTGGTGTCGGGTCAGTGGGAGGGGAATGCATGCTCTCCATTTTTCTGAGACCAGTCTCACGAAGATGATTACACATTGTCTGATCATAAACGTTAACACCTCTGGCGTTCCGGGGGGTCATTTCTGAGTGTGATGGCAGTAACCAAATGATGACGCCTTGCTGCAATCAGGAGTCTTTCCGCAGTGTATTGGAACGCTGTCAACCACCTGCATGTCACTGGGTAGCTGATCCAAAAGTCTTGTATCGATTCCATGCCCTGCTGATCACACTTTGGATGACCACAAAGACGTTTGCAACGTGACGTTGTGCTGACCCAGTTTCGGGCATGCCTATGCACCTGCCTAATTCTTCGGTCGTCAAACGAGGTCTTTGACGCTGAGGGAGCATAAATGCGTTCAGTTGTCGCAATCCTCAGTAGCAAGTTTTGTGCTCTCTGATTAAGATGTGCAATATTTCTGTCACGATACATAAAAACACAGGTTTCAAGCACCTCGTGCACATCATGCTTATGACTGCATGCCTCTTAAAGTGGTTACCCAATCATTGTGTTCAGAGAAATTTCAATTTTTATTGTTGGATGACTGTTTTATCATCAAAACTTGATCTTGAGCAAACCTTGTAGTAGTGGTGTATCGGCCCCACTTTGTAAAGCCAATGGTGTGTTCAAAGTCCAATATGTGTGTTAATTAATTTTCGGTTTTTGCTTTTAATATTTTACCGATATTTGCAGTCTTGGTTTTCAGGCATAGATACGTTTATAAATGACCTTTCCTCCACGTACATATCTACAACGCCAAGCAATAAAGGCATTCTCCTGTTCAAGAGTGGAACATACTATCGTAACGGGGGAATGTCCGTTTTAGTCACGATGTTCGCTAAAGGTAAGTTCTGAGATTTGCAATTGGTATCTATCAAAGCTATGCATGCCCTTGTCCTTTTACATTAATCGAGCAATCACTGTCCCGGTCCAAGTATCAAGATGTTTCGTGTAACACCAGAAACACACAAGTGTTGTTACATCAGGACTGTGTGAGAAACGAGCCTGTGATGTCAAGTTATTACTGTATAATAATACCCGTGAAGATTCCGGGGTAGAATAGGTCTTCAGCAACCCATGCTTGCCGTAAAAGGTGAGTATGCTTGTCGTAAAAGGCGACGAACGGGATCGGGTGGTCAGGCTCGCTGACTTGGTTGATGCATGTCATCGATCCCGATATCATGGATCGATGCTCATGATATTGATATTAATCACTAGATTGTCTGGTCCAGACTCGATTATTCCGTCATATAGCTGGAATAATACTGAGTGCGGCGTTAAACGACAAACCAAAACAAATCAAAACTATATAATAATAAATGTAAGCGACATTTCCGTAATCATGAGAGGTCATTGTAGTGATTGTACGATTTCGATTATGGAAACATTATGGCTGTAAGATATGCAAGGCTGTATGTGAGGGTGGTAGTTTGATGTTAAACTGCCGTTAAGAGTATTTGCCTTAAGGCTGACTTACTTTTATTTGATACAATAAATGCCTTCCATTTAAGTTATGAATAATGTGGATACTACAGTTTCATGTCAACGCAGTCTTAGTGTTGTGTCCTATCCATTGCACGCCCCATGTGATCATGTTCCTTGTTGTTGCAGCAAAACAAATTGGATTTGGCGAGTCTAAATGTGAGGAAGGTCATTTCCTCTGCCAGAATGAGCGCTGTATCAGTGAGGACCTGGTGTGTAACACACGTGACAACTGTGGAGACGAGTCTGATGAGTGGGACGACTGTTCCCTTCTACCATGGTGGAGTTCCGTCTTGATTGCCTTCGTCGTTTTTTTCCTAATAAGTGGAATTTGCATCATTTGCAAATTATCTCAGAAACAGGTAATGCTACTCTCCACCTAAAGTCACAAACAGGCTCTGTTTATGTTGCGTATGTTTACCCTGTCAATGTCTGTTTTTCAAGTTCAAACCTGGCAGGCGATTGCCAAATACATTCCAGTTCATTTGTTTTCAGCAACCAGGGCATACAGTAGCTCTTGGTAATCGATTGCAGATCAACACTATTACCAACCCAACGGCTGTAGCCAACAACAATCTAGAGATGACTTCTTTCCCAGCGACACAAGGGTCAATGCAGATGCAATCACCGTCAATGGCCCAGTCCCAATGGGTAGTCTCACCAGCCTACAACAATCAACAGAACATTCACCAGGTGCCACCACATGTTCCAATGCAGATGGGCGTGCCCTACCAAACGCCCCCCAGCCCCTTGTCTTTCCCAGTGTCCCCACCTGGCCTCATTCCCCACAGCCCCACAGAAGCTCCACCAGCCTACAGCAGTCTGGCAATGAACCCATCTGCACCACCACTTGGTCCTGTTAGCGAGGTCGACGACCGCTTCAAGGGTTATGGCATGGGAACTTTAGATCAAAAAGGACTTCCTCCAAAGTGAGATCGGTGATCAAATTGTACACTAATCCAAGGAACCACATCCATCCTACAAACCTAGGTGTATATCTTCCCCTTCGGTCTCACAGATGTTCTCATTAATCAGTAACCAAAAAAATTAATTACAATATTTCAAAAAATTAAATTGTTCTTACCTGGTTTCATGACCATATCTTATTTCCATGAATATTGACAAGACGTAAGTATTTCTGTTTCGAGAGCAATTGTGGCACTTTCAGGCTCATATGCACCTGTTACAAACTGCCCTTTGTCTAAATGTTTGTTAGAAAAGATGGAATGAGAGAAGTCGGCTTTTGAATGTCTGCATTCAATGGCAAATTGTCAACAAAATCCCAAAAGGAAGACTGTAGATATTTTAACATGTGCATTTTGCTCAAAAGCTGTAGTATTGTTTAAGATGGAAGTCCAGTTCATGAAATCCAGCTCACCTGTTGTTTTTATATCAGTCAGAAATGTAAATACATGTGATCAAGTGTGGGTCTGACAAACCATTGGTTGACATGAGCATTCTACCACGAATTTGGGAAGTTACACTTTGTGTGAGAGGTTTTTTTGTCAAATGCCACTTTGAACAGTATTCCAGTTCTATCACTGCATGTCAGCTTAATGTTGGAGGAAAACCCAAAGTGATGTGAGTCTCATACGCATACCACGGTGGTGGAACCCACGAATCCATGTAGGTGCTGACAAACCAAGAAACAATCAGGGCGAACCAGGATTCAAACCCACGATCATAGGTTTCTGGCATGCAATTGGGACACAACTCTGCACAATTAATTGCAGAGCCCTTGTCAAATGGGCTACCCGTGTTTAGAGATTGTCACCATCTACCATTAGGTCATATGTACGCATGCATATATCTGGATCAAGTAAAACAAACAGATCTTTAGTGTCATATTCATTTATGCCAAACTACTTATTAATTACGACTAGTTTCACATATTGACAATTCTAACATAGCACTAGATCCAAACATTCCCTTGAACATCTACATCATGTACAAGGACTGATGAGATCTAGATACGCCTCGATCCACAAATTTGAGAATGAGGTAGACCAGGGGTCCGGAAAATTTAAAATCCCAATCGGACATTTGCATTTAGGCCACGCCCCCTTCAAATAGCGTATTTTAGTACGACTTTTCACACACATTACAAGTTTACGTATTCATAATATGATGAATTATGAATTGTTTCAATTTAAATTGTTTAATTCACCGGACAATTAATAACAAATAATATCATTTTAGATTTACATGGAAAACATACGTTTGTTTCTTTTATAATAACGATCTGTTAACGTAGTGAACGGTCTAATTAATATTCATGAGTTATATTCATGAGTCTGCTCAAGTGTACGTGTTGTAACATTTGGATCGAGACTATTATCCCATATTTGGTTATCACGTGACCTCACGGGAATTTTTTTTGTAAACTAAAGTTTTTTTAAAAACAAGACAGATAATTTAATCACAAATACAAAAATATCGTTGATAGCAATAGTTATTTGAATACTTTTTTCAACTGTACTTATTTATTGACCATAAAAAAATTGGATATCGATCGTCCGAGAAAGCAAAATGGCGGTCAATCAAGATTCAATATACGACTAGCTACTGAAAACAATAAAATCTGCAAATCCTCATTGTATGTCAACCAAGTGAAAGTCGTTAGCCACGACTTACAAAATGATCGTCCAGACTTTGAGGGTTTGGCAGATCCGCTCGACTGATCTGCATCGGTCGACTGGCTGTCGTCAGGCTTTTGCTTCTTGTCTGAGGTTACGTATCGTAGCATTGTGAGGATAATGCAAGGTATTAATGTACAGTTGTAAACACCTTACACTCAAATTAACAAGAAGTTCTCAGTAATTAATCCTCGATTAATCAGTGTCAACTCAGTTTATTGCCTATTACAGTGATTGACCGATTGGACTATCATGTAGGTACGATGTATTTACAGCAATCAAAACAAACAAAGCTTGTCAGTGTAGTTAATCTTCATTGTGTTGCGACTGCAGACAGAAACTGCTCAGTCCTAACTGTTGATCATGTCCGGTCAAAATTTAAGAATGTCCGGACAATACTTTTTAAAATGTCCAGTAAGCAATATTTTAAAACGGACATTTGAGATTCCCAATCGGACATGTCCGGCGCATATGACGGTTTCCGGACCCCTGAGGTAGACATTTAATCTAGTATTTACAATACGACTTTATACATAATGAATTGACATCATACTTCTTCAAATATTGTTGCCTGTTTTGGAGGATGTTCGATAATTCCAAGTTCTTCCTCTATTTTCTTGTGTATGACCTCTCCATTCTATTACAAGTAAAACCCAGGATCCATTCTCCACCAAGTTTCATTTTGGAAGTGACGTCCATTCTTCATCTCCACATACCAGTGTCCGAAATAACTGCCAGCCCACCTGTTCGTGGCTGGTAAATTTTGTGTCATGTGCATGAGATTTTCCTCAACCTGTCTGTCTTGCCGATAATTTAAGACTACTTAAATATTCAGTTTTAATAGAACTCCTCGTAGATTCTCATGTAATTAATTTGCATTTTTAATGAATTTAAGACTCGATTTGTCTCTTATTTTTCATGACTTTTAAATATTTATAATGTCTGAAAGCAGGCAGGTAACTTTGAAGATGGGCAGGCAACATTTATGGGTCACCTGCCCTACTGTCTAATTGGGTTTTACAGTTATTTCAAACACTGCCACATACAAACTTGGGCAATTTGTCCAGGGTATTCAGCTGTAGAAACTAATATTTTTAGTCCACTAGTCCTGATAATGATAACATATAGCAAAACCCTTGAAAATGGCAAATTTCTACTAGTCCTTCTGATACCGTAACTAATGGGCAGTTTGGCAAGGACTACAGGCCTAGTGCCAATTTCTAACGCTGGTATTTATCATGGTAGAATGGACATAATATACACTCGTTAATAGCGAATGATTCAAGTTAGTGGCATTCAACATGCACCTATTCATTGCTTTCTCCATATAGTATCTCTTAAACAATGTCAACATTCAAGTCATTAATGAGTGAGTGAGATAAAAAAAAAATTAACATTGCATCAGCACTATTTCAGCCATATAGCGATGAGAACAAGTTGACATATACACAATTTAGTCATCAATACAAAGTTATATTAAAAAAAAAGATTATCAAACATATTTGGGCATAACAATATTATATATAACTGTTTAAAACACGGGCATAAGCCACTAGTAACCAAAGGTAGGCCACTTGCTGGGGATCATGGGGACTTGATGATTTAGTGCAAACAGATATAATCAAGAACAGTGAAAACATATAACGGTACAGTTGCAGTGAATAAGTTTCTCGTGTAGGGCTGCATCTCTCGCAAGCATGAGCACGCGCACGCACGCACACACACACACAGAGTCAAAATGTCTACTTCCTCCTTATAAGGCAAAGATCTGCCTGTGCCTTGTGCAAATATAACAACACGACAGGCTGCATGAAAAATGAAAATACCATTTTCTTGGCATTGTAACCAGGAAAATATGAAAAACGAGTAAAAGCGTAATATAATCATCTGGATTTGTCAGTGTCAGGTCAGCTTAAATAAAACATGGCATTGCTATGTCATCCCCAGCATATTCGTGGATGATAAACTTGTGACACTGACATTACATCATAAGAGAATTGTGTAGGATTCTATTTAAAATAGCAACTTTGTGAAATTCTCCCTTATCATTCTAGGGATGAATAGGGAATTTTATTACAAGAAACACAAAGTATTATAGCAGACAAACCATTCTGTGAACAGCACTGGGGAAGACACAATCAGATATTGTTTAGTCATGGCACCACAGATAGAGGGACAGCTACTGATTAAGGGGAGACAACTCCAGGTTAGAACCACTACAGTAGACTACAGACAGAGAAATGGATAATAGTCCACTTACAATTGTTAATGTATATGCACCAAATGTAGAGAAGGCCAGGTAAGTATTTTATAAAGTAGTATATGATGAATTGGTTAAAACCTACGTTCCTGGGGATGATATTATAATTGGGGGTGATTTTAACTGTCCTGAACCCTTCCTTGGATAGAATACCCTCAACAAAAACAAGCATATCTTTGTCAAATATAATTGTTAAATTTGAACTTTCAGACTTTTGCCTAGAGTGAGTGAGTGAGTTTGGTTTAGCGCAGCTTTTAACAGTATTCCAGTTATATCCCGGTGTGTCAGCTTAATGTGGGAGGAAAGCCCGAAGTGGTGCAGGTCTCAGGCGTTTACCTCTTCGGTGAAGCCCACAAGCACGGGTATGGTGCTGACAAACCTAGAAACATAATCGGGGCGAATCAGGACTCGAACCCACAATCATTGGTTTCTGGCGTGCCCAAGGGACGCAACTCTGCACAGCAAATCCTGCGCCCTAGACGACTGGGCCACCTGTGCCCCCTGACATTTGCCTTGATGAACACCCACTGGAAGGTTACACTATCTCAAAAAAGAGGAATTATTACTCTCTTGGATAAAAAGGAAAGGCCTCTTATTAACGGAAAATAAGAGAACAATTTCATTAAAAGCAGATGATGAAATATTTGGCAAAGCTGTTGCAAATAGATTTAAGTCCATCTTACCAGATTTGATTAACCCTTCTCAAACTGGTGTTATAAAAACAATACATTGGTGAGAACATTAGATTTTTATAAGATCTCTTGGAAATGTGTGATGATTCTGAAATAGGCATTATGGTTTGTTTGTTGTTGTTCAACGCCACACTCGGCAATATTCCAGCTATATGAGCCTGGACCACACAATCCAGTGATTGACAACATGAGCATCGATCCACGCAATTGGGATCGATGACATGCATCATCCAAGTCAGCAAGCCTGACCACCTGATCCCATTAGTCGCCTCTTATGACAAGCATTATTGTGTCTTTAGACTTTCAAAAGGCTTTTGATTCAGTTGATCATGGTTGATTGGGACTTCATGTTAATTTTTGTGAAAAGTTCAATTTTGGACCTGAGATGTGTAATTGGATTACTATTTTTAATAATTCCTCAGAAATGTTTTTACATAACTATATCAACAGCATACTTAAGATTGACTGATAGGGGAGGTAACTCATAAAGCACTGGTGAACCAACCACCTGGTAAAGAATAAGATGCAGAAACTGAAAATATTTTTAAAAAACTGAAATATGTACACAAATACATTTATTAACATTGGATAGTGTTTATAATAAATGCAACAAATAACAGCTAACAACATATGGTCAGCTCTCACATTCCATTACATTAAACATTAACATTACAGTTAGGGAAACGACTAGTCTTCCCTTGGTAGAAAATATATTTGTGTCCCAAGGAATGCTGACCATTAATGAATTGTTAAATAACACAATGTCCCAAAATTTGTATGTAAAAAGCAAAAATATCTTTAAAAAAGTCAGGATGATTTCACTTTAAAAAAGCACTATGGCACTCTACCTCACCTGGATATGTACTGTACAGGAAGTAAAAAATCTCAAATGCCAAAAAAGACCGTAACTTTACAAAAAGGTGACACAATTCAAAATATTGTGAACGAACACACTAACTTTCTTTACATTTTGAATAAATAGCTGTGTAGTGGCCTTTCATACCAGCTACAACAACCTTCTGGAATAAACATATGGCAGTATTTACAACAACAAAAGCCAACAAATACGATTTGTTTCGAATAACAAGAGGGCCTGTTATTTTACTATATTGTACTTTGTTAGTACTGCTGGCAGTGACATGCCCTGCACTTCCAATAACTCCAGTATTTCAGAGTAACAATGAAGTATTGAAGTATTATATTAGTACTGCTGCCCCATACATGTGCTACCAGTGAACCAACACTTATAAAAAAATATTCAGGTTCATAGTTTTAATTCAAAAATAACTCTTTTGCTGTTCTAGCTGAAATGACTATGTAACCCCTACGCCCCACCACTCCGCAGAATGTCAAATGACCCAGATTGAATATCCTCATTATACCGGTAAATCCTGTCAAATCAGATCATAGTGTTCCATACTGCTACACATCTGATTTTGATGCGATTGGTCAAATCCGACCTTTGTAGCTACCATAACATTACTAAAGCCTTACCATCAGTGGTAGCCTTATCATCAGCAATATTCCAGCTATATGACTGCGGTCAAGTCTCGGCCAGACAATCCAGTGATTGATAACATGAGCAACAGAGATTCGATCCACGCAATTGGGATACGATGACATGCATCAACCAAGTCAGCGAGCCTGACCACCCGATCCCGTTAGTCGCCTCTTACGACAAGCATAGTCGCCTTTTACAGCAAGCATGGGTTGCTACAGACCTATTTGAAACCGGATCTTCACTACCATTCAGCATAATGCAGCTTCATTCTACGACTGTAATTTGAGTTTACAAGACAGAGTACATATACAAGATCTGTACTCTGGTCTAGTGGCTCAAACTGAAAACTGTATGGGAACAGGACTTCATGAGCAATTGTGTCAGGGTTACATTATCTACATTAGTCCAAAGTTTTTAACATTTTGGGCTTCTTTTTTGTCACATACTTCATGTTCGTGAATATATTTACACATTTTGACTGCATCGGTGGCAGACAAAGTCAATATATTATATCATTGACAACATCTTGAAAAGTGATCAAAATAAGACTTTAATACTGCAATATGATATATAAAAAAACACTAAGTAACTACTCATACATGCACACACACCATATTCACCTTTTAAGTGACATCTATGTTTCTGCTCTGATTTGTCACTGGTAAATTCACTAGCAAATTTAAGCTACTCAATAGATCTCATCAGTCTCTCATGTAGGAATTGTACTCTTACATGAACAATAGCATCATGGTACATTTGAATCAACACATCAAATCAAATCACCTCCAATTTCCTCTTGAAAAATCAATCATTACATCATTCTGGCAAATTAAAATCTAATAAAAGCTAATAATTCTACACATGCAGAACAGTAAGTAGCCAGATATTAAAATAAGAAATTATACAAAGTAATGTAAAACAACCTCTCAATAAACATGATAAACAGACAAAATTAACAAAAGACAAAAGGGCAAAGTCATCCATAACCCCCGCATTGGTAAATACGGGGTCAGGTTTTTTTTCCTAAATATATTTTTCAAGTTTCCATAGCAACGACTTTGACTAACTATTGTGGTACTTAGTGTTTGAAAAACATACACTTCTTTACCAAACTTGTCACATAGATTGGCCTAGTGGTGAACTGGTACTTTTTGATAGTGATACCATTTCATTTGCAATTATTACAACTTGTTTATGTATTCACGACATGTAATTACCATTGCGGGGATTATCTATGACTTTGTCCTTTTGTTCATATCAATAATTGTTCATATCCTTCAACATATTCAGTATTAAGACTTCTTAAGACATACTGGTTAACTATCACACAAGACAAAGACTAAAAAACATACATGGCAACTTAAAACATTCGGAAACTGCTCCAAAAAATTCAAGTCCAATGAAATAACAAACTGTTCATATAAAAATGTGGCATTTTTATCCTTAAACATGTAAAAAATGCCTTGGATTAGAACTCATGTCAAAATCTCAAGCAACACAGTCTTGCATGGAAGCTGATGTTGTGTTTTATATTCAGTGTAAAGAGCATCCTGAATCATCCAGTGTATTGTACCTTTATTCTATCACGGGAGCAGTGCACTTTACCGGGCACACTTTTTCAGATCCTATTAGCGCTGTTTGGGCTCAAACGCGCTTCACCGGCTCGGTTAATTAGTGCATTAATTAGCTAACGCTCTACCATTGGACCAAGAGTGCCATCACCTGGAATTTGTGCTCATTTAACGGGTCATTTTCACCTCATTAACCTGCATGCGCTGATGTCACACCTTCTCTATTCATCTTTCCGGAGAAGCCACACCTACTATTGTCCATCAAAATGAGTAACCAATCGACCGACGAAACGTGTTAAAACGGACATTACTCTTATAGGACTACTCATTGGATTATTTGAAACACTTCAAAAAGGTAAGAATTTATGGCTAACCCTAGCCCTAAGGATTGAAAAGGGGTGTTGGATCGGTAAGGTGTGTCAACTCCCTAAGATTGAAAAGGGTTGTTGGATCCGAAAGGCGTTTCAGTTCTCTAAGATCGAAAAGGGGTTTTGGATCCGAAAGGTGTGTCAGCTTTTTAAGATGAGTAAAGGGGTGTTGGATAGCCAAAGCATGTCAGTTCCCTAAGATCAAAAAAGGGCGTTAGATTGCCAAGACATGTCCGCACCCTGAGACGAGTACGAGTGTATTCGATCGTGGGCCACGGTAGTGGTATAGCAAGACAGCGGTAGCGCTATAGCGCAATAATTGAGCTGTTGGTAGATGGTGAAGCTGCGCTGGTAAATTGCATTGTTGCCTCTATCATAATATCTTGCCTGGACCAACTCAACACCTTACCTTTATTTTAGAAGTTACGTCACAAGCTCCATCACTCTAGTCACTAACAGATCTACAGTCTCTGTTTCAAGTACATGAAAGCCAGCAAAGTATATAATGTTGCAGATTTAGCTTTCGATAAGTCAGATGAAACACTCCCACTGCTCCAGGTGGATGCCGTATTGGCATATTGTATGGATGAAAACTAGTCAAATAGGGACGGATGGCAAATTACAAGCATATCAAATATGCGGAAAACAATTCTATTCGCTCTCATGATTAATTTTGGCACCAAAATCCGAATGTACAACTCAGGGTCTTTGAATGATCACAGCACAATATCATAACAATACTCGTCAATTCTACAAAGCGAGCAGCACGGTACTTATTGGATTGAAAAAATATGACTCGTACCGGATAATGACCAGTACTGCACACCCCGGGATACAAATCAGCACTAGCCCATAGCAGTTGCAATGTTAAGGTATCCTAAAGGCTAGTAGCATTTCAAACATTGTTTAAGGTATTGCTATACGTTATCAGTATTGGGTCTAGGAGACTTTCTTGGTTAATTTCTACCCCTGACACATATGGATGAAACATTATCCCAACCACTGCATTCCCCCTCAGGTTTAAACATTCAGGAAGAACCCTTGGGGTTTTTCCTAGGCTAAAAAAGGTGCTGAAGCCCCTTGGGTTTATCCACTGGAAGAGGGTTTTATATTTCATACAAGCCCTCTGAGGTGTTTTATCAACATGAAGAAGACTATGTAAAATGTATACGTATCAAGACACATCTTTATATGACTATTAAACCTTTACACACTTCAGTTCAGAAATCAACATAGATCCTGTAGCAGAATTGACTAGATAGCACAACACTATATACAGCAAGAATGCATTGAATTCATCTTAGCAAATCCTTGAAGTTCCTTAATGCTTTGCTTGACTTCATTGACAAACAAGGGTTTATACCATTGGTCAAAACTAAGTCCACGGATCATTTTTGACTGGTGGTTTATGTGAAATAACTAGATTTTGCGAAAAAAGTAGTCCCTCCGGATTTTCACTCGTCTCGGGCTAATGAACTTGTGGCCATGTCTATCCCTGACATGTAACAACAGTGAGCTACAAGTTTCTTATGCTGCACTCTCACAGTGCCAGATCTGGTGGGTGTGCTTGGCTTCACCACTGATTGAATCTCGGCATAGAAAACCTCACAGATTCAAACCTAGATTTACCTGCTTAGGCTTGATAAAATAAAAGAATAGGTTTTCAAGCAATGGTTTTTGAAAATATAGGGTGTGTGTTTGTTCAAACTAGTATGTAACCAACTAAACAGTTGTGTACAATCAACCTGGGTAAGGGCCTCCCAACATAAATGTATTCCTTGACAAGTAAAATAGTGGAATACAGTATTTGACTACTGTTGGATTTTGAATATAAAAGGATTTTTAGTTGTTTTTTTAAAATGGAAATAATAATGAAATGTGCTGCAGACTTTGTGATGAAGAGGGCGGTGCCTGACAACCAAGATTATTATTTTTTTAGCCTTCAAGGCAGGGGTCCGGAAAATTTAAAATCCCAATCGGACATTTGCATTTAGGCCACGCCCCCTTCAAATGGTGTATTACATTAAAAGTTGTTATGTATGGTGTTCCCTCATTATTGCGTGCTTCGGTTATAGCGCACGGTAAAGCATGGCTCCTAAAATTTACCAACATTTTTAATAAACTCAAGTTTTCCAATCACACGATATTTTTTCCCCCATCTCAGAAAACATTATCAGCTGATCACCGCGATCACATAACACCGGAAGTACCAGTAAACAAATCCGAACTGAAGTACGCAATTTATTCCTATCATTATGATATCTGGTAAACTAGAGTTTGCAATATATATTCAATATTTCATTCAATAATCATAATAATGTTTACAATAATTTCGGCGAAATTGTATGTGAAGTGATCAGTCGATCGCACAACTCACCGTTATTTACAGCAACCACGGTCAGATTACCACTATTGACGCCTTGAAACGAACTTTAGTTGCAAGAGAATGGATACACATATCATAAATGCTGTACCATGACTCGCTAAAAGTCATATTTGAGGCAGTTTGACTATTAAATGTCAACATTAAGTTTTTTTACAAAGTTCGAGGCCAATATTATTTTGGCCCAAAATCAGCATGTCAGTAGAAAAATTTGTATAACATATTCCTGGTTCATGCTAATACAGTATAACAAATATGGCTCTGTAAAGGTGACTTGTAGTTCACTGATAACAGGATCTAAACAGAGAAGCGGCTTTGAATGAAATGTTAAAATACCTCAGAATTTAAAAAACTAAGAACCTGATAAAATCTCAATTTAAAAAAATAAAATAGTTTCCTCATTTGTCTGCCACGGCTTTAGGGGTCCTTAGGGGTGTGCGCTTGACACCTGATGTTGATGGTTTTTGCAGGTCCGTTGGGTATTCACTTCGTTTGGGGGTCTGCTTTGTGGGAGTGACTATATTGCCTTCTGAAACATATGCAGGACATGTGAATGATTCATATGCTGAGCCAATGAGGGGTGCAGGTGCAATCACTGCCTTATTAAAGCATCCTAAATATTGATGCAATTGGAAGTTTTATAAGTGACAGGGTATATTGATAATAAACCTATTTCAAAGCTGTATCTAACTTTGAGAAATGTTTTCAACACAAAGACTACAACATTCCAACATACATTGCTTCACAGATTAGCTGGATATATTAGATAGAACAATGAAGAACAAAGCCAGGTTTATTTCACAATAAATGTTAACTTGTGAACACAAAAAACAACAACTACACCACTCTTTCTTTCAGAGAGCTGTATGTAGGGGTATACTATCCAGCGCCCAGAACTATGTTTATCTCCCTGATAGGGGCCAGGAATGCACTGGACCCGCCACTGATAACTAAGTAAATCATCATTGGATGTTTTTGTTTGTTTGTTTGTTTGTTTGTTTGCTGCTTAAAGCCGCACTAAGCAATATTTCAGCTATATGACGGCGGTCTCTAAATAATCAAGTCTGGACCAGGCAATCCAGTAGCTGACATCATGAGTATTGGGATACGATGACATGCATCAACCAAGTCAGCAAGCCTGACCAGTCAATCCCGTTTGTTGCCGCTTACAACAAGCATAGTCGCCGCTTACAACAAGCATAGTCGCCTTTTACGGCAAGCATGGGTTACTGAAGACCTATTCTACCCCGGATCTTCACGGGTCTTTCCACAATGTCACCTATGAGGAGGTGAAATATGATTAAAGCAAATGCCTACCAATTTTACATGCCAATTAGTGTTTGACTGAGTGAGAGTGAGTTAACATGGTTAAGAATAATACTGCTTTGAACAATATTCCAGTTATATCATGGCTTGTCAGCTTAATGTGGACAGAACGCCATAGGTGATGCAGGTCTTAGACGTTCACCACTTTGGTGAAATCCATGAGCACAGGTATGGTGCTGACAGACCTATTCTACCCCGGATCTTCACGACAAAACCTAGAAACATAATCAGGACGAATCTGGATTTCTGACTCCTAAGGGCCACAAATTGGGCACCTTAAACAACTAGGCAACCCTTGCCGCCACACACGTCGCTATATAAGTGCAATAATCTTGGACGCGACGTTAAACCCAATTTCACCTCACCTCACCTTGCCGCCACTAAACAACTGATCATTCGACAACAAATTTACAAACTCCACAACCCCGATGCTATTGAAGTTACTTTGAAATATAGGACCTACTTTGTACCTTGAGCTGTTGTGCATCAACTTCGACCACCACAAATGACACTGGTATTGACGACGGGTCGAAGACACTTCTAATAGTCACTGGAACATTTCTTCCTTTCTCGTCTACAAACACGTCCCCAATCTGCTGATGTATGCTTTTACTTGAGAGGGAGCGGATGTCAATGAGGACTGCAAGAGCAGCTCCTGTCTTCAGACAGGATGGCAGGACCTTCTGAAAGGCTTTCCGACAGTACGCCTGGAAGTTAACCACAGTTTCATCAATCTGCTTCAGGACCATTATGGTCGTATGACCTGGAGTCCCAGATTTGGAGGACTGAACATGTTCAACAATGTCATTGACACCATCACTTTCCTCCGACTCAGGTATCAAAATGTCTTCCTGGGGATGAACAAATACATGACCAATGTTCCTAAACTTCTCCCCAGTCCACTGGAGAATCGTATCCACCTCAAGTCTGCCCATCTCCAAATCTTCTTCATCTGTTTTTTTGGTAACCACGGTAGCCGACGTCCACGTCACCATGTCAGGCTCGCCCTGTCCCGGCATAACACCTAACTTCTCCCGCATCTTCCCATCCTCGTCAATGAAGTCATCCAGCAGCAGCACAAGGGTTCTCTTGCCATCAGGCTTGAAGACGCCTCCTTTCTGCCCTAGTTTGGAGATCTGCGTGGTGACCCTGGTCCAGTACAGATCGTGAGTTTGGTTGATGATGTCCTGGTTGTTCAAACGTTGCAGGAAACCTCCCTCGACCTGGTACAGCTTCTTATCCTTCCCCTCCAGGTACTCATTATCAAACATCAACTTCGTCACCTCTGGGATGTCTTGCTTTCTGAAATGTGTTAATCAAAAAGGTGAGTGAGGGAGTATCTCAGTCATGTCATGACATGTCAGCCTGATGTGGGAGGAAAGCCCCGAGAGATGCAGGTTTTAGATGAATACCAACTTCGTAAAACCCCATCTCCACGAGGCAAGACTGCCCTTTCAAGACAACTGTGCTAAAACATGCTTGGGAGAGGACTATCATATACACCAATAGTCCAATCAGAGAACATTTTACAAAATCAACATCCAGGACATGAAACATGGCCTGATCTATGGCCACAGCCACTGCATGTTGAAGTTATTCCAACCATTGAACAAAGACAAATATTTTCGAAGTCTTTCCAAGTTTTCCAAGTACTTAGTTACTTTTATATATTTCAATGCAATCTTCATTGTACTTTAACTTGAACGACTGAAGGCTTATCGCAGTTACTGATATGCAGTGCTATTTTTAGACAAACCATGCTGAGCGTTTCATGTTACCGCAATGTGCAGTGTTACTTGATACTTTAGTCTGTATGCCTCTGTTATTGTGAGAGTGAAATTTGACAGAAATACGGTAACTTTACTTTGGTAATCTGTCCTTTGTTTGCCTGGTAGCCACCAGTTGTGTGAAGCCATCAGAAACAAGAAAACAGTGTTACTACTATCCCCCGCCATGGGGCACATTATGTTGTTAGTGCTATAGTAGTGAATAACAGGGAAGTTAATGTTACCTAGAAAAACAAAGAGTCCTATAAAGCCTTGAGAAGAAATAGGTTTGGGTGGCTCTGTTACAAGAAAATCTGATAAAATGTGTAATGAATACACTCTGGAAAAAATAAATTATGGCACCTATTTACAATTGTCTTGATAATTAAGTATCTCTTACAAAAGTCTTCAAAGTTTCTTTCGTTTAACTTCAGTAGTTTCTAAGAAAACTTCTTCAGACTCAATGCACTAAGTAAAATAACATGGATCAAGGGTTCTCTTCCAAACCTAGGTTTTGAAAAGGGTCACTTCTAAACCATCTTCCCGAGGCAAGAGAGTTAACCGACTTTAAAAGTACAGTTTCCACCCTTGCCGAACTAGGCTGGAATTCAGCCAGTGGCTATTACGAGTTATGTCCTTTCTATGCCTCTCCTGTTGACCAATCAGATTCAACCTCTCATATCACTTGCATTTGCTTCGAACAAAACGTAGGCGCCCAGTCAAGACGATCTGATTGATAATCAAGATCTATATTGTGATAAAACGAGTCTTACATCGCAAAGTGCATCAAATCACGTGAGCACCTTGATTAAAAGCATGAAAAGACTTAGAAAATAACTGTTGACAATGAGTTGGCGGTGCACATGCTTTGCAAATCCTGCAATCGACCGAAATCTGCATGACACTTTACGAACCGGATTTCAATTTCGGTGAGCGATTGTGATTGGACTATGCATAGACTCGTTAGTCCAGCCAAAATGTAACTCCATAATACCAGCCTAGTTTGGCAAGGGTGGAAACTGGACTTTTATAGTCAGTTAACTCACTTGCCTCGGGAAGATGCTTCTAAACCTGCTTTGAAGTTTTACATTTCAATTGTAATACCTAGGTTTTACAATTAATGTTTCATTAACTTGCCTCTTGATATGAACACAATTGTCTTTGATGATTGGTTAAAAGGCAAAATTAATTTTTTTTACATGAACTTTCATAACGTGAATTGAAGCTGCAACCTCACATGTCATGCTAAGTTTTGTAACCCGCTCTTTTCACACTGAGCTACCAGTGCAGGTGATGAGAAATTCTTCAGTTTATCTGCAACTAGTCCATGCTGCATGTGGTTTTTCTCTTGCACGCCTTGATCGAAATCCCTTATATACCACAACACAGTGTTGTTTCACTATAAGGTATGTCAATGTTTTTTTATTTTTACTTGTATTTCTTGCAGTTAGACGTTTCATAAGTTAGATAAAACACGCCTCCTCGGTTTTGATTGAGAATGTAAAACCTTCAGCTCAAGGTTTTACATTTTCAACCCAAACCTCGGAGGCGTGTTTTATCCTATACATAGCCTGACTCAAATATAGACTATGTCTGTTCTTCGTGAATCATGTACATAAATTTGTTTATCATCCAAAATTGGCTCCCACTGGAGATACCGCTAGAATGAGATCAAGCAATATCTACACTGTAGAATCTCGCTGCAATGAAATTACATCACAATGCTTTGCAGACCACTGTGATATCATTGGTTACCGTGACGTCACAATCAAATGACATCACTAATGGCTCTGCTACTGAAGCTGTTAGCAGTACTTTTTACACTGAAGACACTGCTAATTACTGTCTACAAATTGAAAAAGTTAGAAGAATAATGTTGGATGATAAATAAAATCTCCCTTGTGTCTTTTGATATCAAACATATCAACACTCGATAAAAGTGGCAAAAACCTCGGCAAGCCTCGAAATTTTTCTACTTTTAACAACTCGTGTTGATATATTTGATATCAAAAGACACTCGGGTGAGATTCTCTATTTATCTGCCTAACTCACACGAAGCGCTCTGTCAAGTCCTGAATGAAGCAGATCATGCTTTGTTTTGGGAGACACGGAGTGTGGTCAAGGTCCTGCCAAACAAAGATGTTACTGGTCTTCACGTCCAGCTTCCTGCTGACTTGTTTCTCCAGCTGCTGCCTCAACTTCAGGGTTAGCTTGGCCTCACCCACAATGCACACGGCACAAGCTGCAACAAACATCACAACAATTAAATATTAGATATATCAAACTATCAAACTATTGCAACTGTTGCCCAACGATAGTACCATATCATTAGAAATTAATAAATGCCAATACTATTGTCAACAGTAATGCACAACAATTGACAGTTTCAATAAGTCATACGTAAAACACAAATTATCCCAATTTAAAATTTGCCTGTGTATTAGACTTCATTACATGTAGTACTACTTCAGATTAGAGTTACTTCCCTTTGGGATGAATTTGCCACCAGGAGGCACATGTAAACATGGTCCAGCGTTTGACACTGAACAGAATTCAGTGGTCCAAAGGAACAGCACATAGAAAATAAATCTACTGGTCCTGTTGAATCTCTATGGTCCTGACCAAAAATGGTTTTAAAAGTTATTTGCTTCATTGTGCAATTAGAGTGAGAAACAAGCCAAGAAGGTAACTTAACCAAATTCAGTGGTCCAAAGGAACAGCACATAGAAGGTAACCATGTCCCCTGTAGTGTTGTTTCCATTGCTGTTTTTGCTTAGAATATTAGAATCGATCTATCACTGATTTCAAAAGTCAAACTTTAAATTACTTTGTTCGTCTTCAAATAAACACTAGACCACTGGCATTTATTTAATCTGTTTAATTTGGCTGGTCCTTAAGAAAATATGCTAGACCAGTGTTAGTGTCGAACACTGGTAAACAATCAACACTGGGCCATGTTTGGCCAGCTAAACCAGGGGTTGACGATATGAGCAACTACCTACAATGACACACAACAACCGAGTCACCAAGACAAAACACCGCATTTAATAATATTGCTTCTTATATTTTGTCTCACAAGCAATGGTCGCCATGAACATCCCCGCACATGAGAGATTGAGGGAAAATATTAAAATGTGTCAATAAATTTTTTATTGATCAGCTAATACCACATTAACATGTCAACCTGTTTAAAATCAGAGTTTAGTTCACTCTACAGCTAATCAAAGAACTGAAGACATCCGTATTCGTGTCACCTCAGAACGACCTTTCACCCGACCAGTCAGAGCATCACTTGCCAGATCAGGAAATGTGACAGTTGGAAAGTGTTTTCTAATCATGCAACCTTGAAAAGGTTAACACAGGGTATTCAGAACAAGTTAATTGCTTTACGACTGATTCCGTCAAATCTCTCACTTTAATATGAGATAAACATTTCAACAACAGAGACTTTGCATAGCCTGAGGTATGTACTGCCTTACAATCTATTAGGCATTTCAGAATGTTCTTTTGTTCCATTTTCAATTTTTTCATCATAGAGAACATTGTCAAAATATCTTTCAAAGAGTAGTCTGGAAAGGAAGTTGATCTGGAAGGAAGTTATCTGATCGACAAGGTCGTCGTCCATGGTAGTCGCCATCATTGTGAAGCTATACGAGATAAGCATGATAGGAACAGCGATTTGATAGGATATCGCGTTTTCATTACAAGGGCCATACTCACTCACTCACTCACTCACTCACTCACTCACTCACTCATTCAAGAGAGGATTTCTGAATGACTTTGTAATCAGTGCTTAAGTATGGGATGGCTGTTTGAGTCAACTGATGATAAATATTAATACCAATAATGTTGAAAGGTAGGTAGGGTGATTCATTGATTCCACGACTCGTGATCTACGCGAGGCGGGGGCCAGGGCTGAGCCAAAAAAAAGTGGCCTTGGTGTGGCAAGGGTAGAAAATAGGCTTTGATATGGGCTTGTGGACACACATGCCTTGGGAAGATGAACTACATTATGACTTACTGTCCAGTGTGCTCCCACGTGAAGTAGGTGGAGGTTTAGTGAAGGACTTCTCGTTGCTCGCCTTCCGATCCCCTTTGTGATCCACCTTCCGATCCCCTTTGTGATCCATCGTATGATTCTCTACCGCCGAGTTGGTCTCACTCTTGTCTTTACCACCAGGGGATGTGAAAGCGTTCATTTTTACAACCAACTTCTTTCCATTTTTTTTCTTCGAACTCTCAGCACTTTTTCCAAGTGACAATCCAGTTGATGTTTGACTTTTTTTATTGTTTTTTTTCTCAGGGCTATCTATCTTAACACACTCAATAGTAAGTTCAGGTAAATTACGGTTTGAAGTACTTGCTTTTGCCTTCTTAGTTGGCGAAGAATTGACAGATATATTGTCAGCTTTTCTTTTCTGTTTTGGTGTGTCACTTCCATCTGAATGGACTCCATTGCCAGTGTAGTTGTCATCGCAGTTGCCTTTGCTGACGTCACTGCCGTTATTACTTGACGAGAACATCGACTTGTCTCCTGATTCATCCGGGAGGTGTTTCAGAGTAACCTTTCCAGCGGGGTGTTTAAATGGGGATTCGGTATCACTGATATTTACAAAAGTTGTATTTGTGTTTTGAGAAAGTGCATCATAGTCGAACTCCTTATAATCTTCGTCATCTTCACAGTCCCCTTCATCATCACTGCCAACATCACTGTTGTTGTTGTTACTGGATGAAGTGGAAAGGTCTGAAAGTGATGATAACATGACCAATGTTTAATGAATAATTCCATGAATTTACAGATCCCCAAAAGAATATGTTTTGCAAAAGGTACTCATATGTGTGTCATTCTTTTTTTTTTCCTAACATAATTAGTAAAATCTAAATATTTTTTACATTTGTACACTTATTATACTGCATTACTGCTTGATGCATCTACTGCTTACCTAGCAACAAACAAAACACCGCCTAGCGATGGACCTTGATGAAGAAAAAATGTTGATTCTGTTTTCAGTCTACTTTTGCAAGGACCCATTACTGCTGTCATGTGACTGTCCGTTGTGATGTCACATCTGGTCACATTTGGTTTAAAAACATTTTTTGAAGCTATGGTGGGGAGGCAGGTCTACGACGCGTGGGCCCAAGTCAAGTGCCGAACGGTTAAACTCGTTCAATCTCATCCATCAGAAAGAATTGAGGATGGTCCATGTAAACAAACAGTAAAAAGAAATTAGCGTAAGCTAAAACCTAACAAACTGCATTACCGAGCTAAAAGCTAAAAGCTGGGTAGAAGGACGATGTGCCAGACCAATGGCCTTAGCTGCCCGCACCGAATAGCCTTTAGCAATTAGTGCCCTTTTAAGACAACGCAAGCGTGCAGATAAAATCTGCCTGGCGTTGGGTGAGGTAGTTTGCTGTGAGGGTGGATGAGTAGGTTGGGAGGGGTAGTGGATCGTGGTTGATGAACCACCCCGTTGCTGGTCACCAAAGTCAGAGCAAGGCCCTTTCTTTCTTTGATCTTTTGTATAATCCTGGAAAGTTGTTTGTTTGTTGTTTAACGCCGCACCCGAGGCAACAGAGTTAACTGACTATAAAAGTCCAGTTTCCACCCTTGCCAAACTAGGCTGGTATTATGGAGTTACATTTTGGCTGGACTAACGAGTCTATGCATAGTCCAATCACAATCATGCAACGAAATCGAAATCCGGTTCGTAAACTGTCATGCAGATTTCGGTCGATTGCAGGATTTGTAAAGCATGTGCACCGCCAACTCGTTGTCAACAGATATTTTCCAAATATTTTCATGTTTTTAATCAAGGCGCTCACGTGTTTTGATGCACTTCACGATGTAAGACTCGTTTTATCACAATATAGATTTTCATTATCGATCAGATCGTCCTGACAGGCCGTTGCCATTTTGTTTGAAGCAAATGCAAGTGATACGAGAGGTGGAATCTGTCCATAGGACAGGCATAGAAGGGACATAACTCGTAATAGCCACTGGTGGCACTACGATCAAACCCAGGAATTACAGCCTAGTTCGGCAAGGGTGGAAACTGTACTTTTAAAGTCAGTTAACTCTCTTGCCGCGGTAAAGTTGCACTCAGCAATATTCCAGCTATATGACAGAGGTCTGTAAATAATCGAGTCTGGACCAGATAATCAAGTGATTGACATCATGAGCATCGATCCACACAATTGGGATACGATGACATGCATCAACCAAGTCAGGGAGCCTGACCACCCGATCCCGTTATTCGCCACTTACGACAAGCCAGGAGACATATGTCATAAGTTGGTGGTTCTGGTGAGTCACAAACAGATCAATGTTTGGTTGCCTGAAGCACCAGTTGGAACACCCCTAATTGAAGTTTCCATTCCATGGGAGCCACCCTGTCTGGCTGGGATAGGCGTCGGCCAGGATGTTCCGGCATCCAGGATGTGCTGGATTACCAATTTTAGTCCCAGACAATCCTCTAGATGAAAGAACCTGAACTTCTGTTGCAGAAGGGAGTGAGAGTGCGTTGTTGCTTGATTGAGCACGCTCCACACCACCATGCTGTTGTCGGTGGATATTGTGAGTTGGGTGGACTGTAGCTGTTCCCGTGTGCTAAGTCTGTAGTACGCTGTACAACAGCCCTGAGGCTGTCTGGCCCTGTGAGTGAGCACCTCGACCCTGAAGTGAGGCGTCTACGAAAAGATTCGGGGCTAGCCCGGACGCTCAACTCTATCGTCCACCATTTGAGACGAGTCCTTGGTAGAGTAGAGTGATGGCACTCGTTGAACAATCATCCTCATCTTGTCCGAGTCCTTCTTGGATACAAAAAGGAGAGATAGTAAAAGGCTGGTGTTAACCCTGGGGCATGTACAATCTCTACAGCTCTTTTCTTCTTCAACAAGATGTCTATGCTGAATTTTAGTTGGATTTCGTTGGATAATCCCAAGGTGGAGGAGCTGTGGTCAACGATGGAGCTACCTCTATGTTCAGACGGTAGCCGTAGCTCAGTTCGTTGAGTATGAAGGTGTCCTTCAGTACGGCTCAGTTTTGACAGAAGAGGCTCAGTCTCCCACCTACGGGGTCGTCGACGATTTGGACGACTGAGGAAGGATGTTCCAAGTCATGATTGTCCAACGCTTCGATGTTTCCCCCTCTTGTCCTCGCCCCTGCCTTGGAATTTCCATTTACAGGAGCCTTGTGGTTTACCACGAAAAGAATCCTGAGCCTGCTCCTTGAGGGACGAGCGTTTCGGCTTGTAACTGCCCGACCTGCCAGTTCGTTGGGATAAGCTTTGGGACACATGCTCTAATGCCTTAAGAGTGGTCTCATCCTGAGCATTAATGGAGACCTTATCATGTGTCAGTGTCTTGGTCATTGAACAGAACGCTAGCTGACCATGGTTGACGGAGGAGTCGGCATTTAAACTCTGAATCCCAGTTGGAGAGCGCTAAGAAACCAAGCCTGGGTGTAACAGTGATCTCCACTAGGGCTGCTCGGAGGTGGTTCCTCATGTGGTCAATCTGATGCTGTTGAAAAATCAACAAAAGTCTGAAAATGGTCTTTGCAGTTCAGGTTAACCTCATAAATCCTGTTTCATCGTGCAGGTTGTGGACGCTAGTGCGGATAAAGATTTTAGTATACACCTGATTACAGTTTCAATGAAAGCAAATCTAGCACCTGGGACTTTCAGCATGGTTGGTTTCGAACAGCCAGTCATCCTCTGCAAATCCTCATCTAAAGCATGAGCCTGGTCCGCTACAGCAAAGACATGGATAGGAAAATTGTCCTTCCTAAATTTTGGAACTTTGAATGACGGCGCAAGCGTAAGCTTGGAAAAATCTTCATCTAGCGCAGTAACCATATCCTTCAGCATAGGATCCACTGGTATAGATGAGGGCTGTGACCATATGGTATCTCTGGCTCCGGGGAAGGCGCTACTGACTCTTGACGGTCTGCTACCCCTCAGGAATCTGCACTAGGCTAAGGTGAGTATTCCACTCTACAGAGGAATCTCCATCCTCGTCGCCTGATACATCTGATGAATCAGAATGGTGGTGATGTGCTCTCCTCGTAGGTGAGCAACTTCGGCTACGGTACATAGCTCTTACTCTAGCAGAGTGCTTTGAAGATGTGACAAGTGAGAGTGGTGTTGGTGCATACTAGTTGTAGCAGAGTGTGTATCTGGCGTCTGATAAATGTTAGACGCAGGTGTAGGAGCTAGTGCTTGGGTTGTCTGAGGCGTAAGTATTGTAACTGGCGCTAGAGGTTGATACGTGGGCTCAGGCGTCTGGTATATGTGTGCCATTGACTACTGTAATCGGCAAAAATTTTATGAGTTTTAAAGTGTATGAAATATAAACACTTGAAACTCTATGTAACGCCAAAGGCTACAGGTATTTAAATATACATAAGCATGTTAATACCTAGCCGAGAATTGCAAACAAACTTGACTACCTCGGTAAGAGGTAAACAAATGTAACGCAAATTCAAAAGGCGGAAACAATGAGCCACGTGGCGAAATAAAAAAGACAGAGTCTTCTTACGTGGAAAACATATAAATAATATGGAAAGAATACATCACCCGTCGGAGACATAATTGAGTGCAGTAACAAAATGATAACTCCTAATTAAGCGAAAGTTGAAGCTACAAGCGACACACGACCTCCCTTGACGACGAGCGGTAATATAAATTGGATGTGACATCACAACCAGTCATATGACAGTGGCGGTGGTCCTGTAAAAAGCAGACCTGATTTGGAAACAGCTTTTTCTTTTTTTTACCAAGGACCATCGCTAGGTGCTGTTTTCTTTGTCAAAAGGTAAGCAGTAGATGCATTAAGGAGTAATGCAAGTCTAAAAGTTTCATAGTACCCCTGGTAACTCAGTCGCTATGTGACCTCGGGTTTGGCCAATTCGGAGCCTCCATCATTTGGTTGTGGGCCATTTAGTTTGGAAAAGGGCTGGTAACTTTAAAAAGGAGCAAGCCCTGCAGGCTATATACAAATTTGTTGTTAAATCTACCCCTGGGATGGGTATAACTCCCAGAAGTCAAACAAGTCGAGCTCTGTGCAAGAACTATATGCAAACACTACAGTTGCCTGATATTGAAGCGATGTACAGAATAGAGTCCGCAAGGCTATGAAAATGGGACATGAGAAACAACCTGACCACTCATTGGTCAGATCAGTCACTGGTTTCCCTCTTGCTGAAACCAGACTGTAGTTTGAAAATGGATTCCCTGCACAAACTTAATTGCAAGTGGCAACCACAATGATTAGTTGGGAGGGGTAAACTTTCCCAACAGCCCATGCTTGGGACAGGAGAAAAGAATGTAATGCAATAATCAACCAAATCAAAAGGAAGTAACTCACAATGTTTCAAATTTTTCCTGTATTTATCTTCATGTTCTTTGCAGCAGAACACTCTGAAACACAAAATATTCCATCATAATCTTCGGGTAGACAATACTGATACAAATGTTATGCAAAGAGTTCTGAATACGACGCATTTTGTATTTTGTTTTTGCCACACTCAGCAATATTCCAGCTACATGACGGTGGCCTGTCTGGACCAGACAATCCAGTGATCAATATTGTGAGCACTGATCCATGCAGCTTGGGTATGAGGACAGAGCCTAACAACCCGAGCCATTCGATGTCTTACTTGTATTCTGTATTCTTCAGAAGCTGCAACATTCAGTTCTCAGTTAAAATAAGATATTACCTTGATTTGAATGAGTCAATGTTGTTTAAAGCAAATAAATGATCAAATTTGGGCTAGGGCAGCCAGTAGTTGACAGAATCCAGATTGTTCAGGTATAACACATAATCAGTCAGGTTACCCACATTGTGATACAGACCCGTGAAGATCCGGGGTAGAATAGGTCTTCAGCAACCCATGCTTGCCATAAAAGGCGACTATGCTTGTTGTAAGAGGCGACAAATGGGATCGGGTGGCCAGGCTCGCTGACTTGGCTGATGCAAGTCATCGTATCCCAAATGCGTGGATCGATGCTTATGATGTCAATCACTGGATTGTCTGGTTCAGACTCGATTATTTACAGACCACCATCATATAGCTGGAATATTGCTGAGTGCGGCGTTAAACAAACAAACAAACATTGTGATACAGACTGCACTAATAACCATATGTTTAGATAATTGGGCCAACCTTTTTAGCCTTAAAGAATTTTTAACTTTTTCACCAATGAGCACACAGCTAACATGCACAAACGTCAACATTTCATGCCTGAGAACATGCACAATCACAGGCAGTGGTTGAGTTCGCTCAAAGTCTGTCCAGTAAGGGTGATCTTCACCTGTAGAGCACAGTTTTCTCTCCTCTAGTCTTGATATGAACAACCAGTCTCTTCGTGACAACATCGGGAGACATCTTGGCACAGTAGTAGTGGAAGGAACGTCTGCAGGACCGTACGGCACATCCTGCCGTGGCTCCCCGAGGGACCTTCTTCCTCTTCTTGCCACATCCACAAACAAAACATTTCTGCAACAGTAACAGCACGTCCAACAGTGTTGTGTGAATGGTCTGCAGTGGAACCAGGTCCATTGTATGGCAAACACTCAATCCATTGCCCTACCCAATATAGAGGAGGCGGAATAAGACAATATTAAGGTTGAAAAGGTTTCCGTGCACCATGTTTATAAACTCCATAGTTCAAAGTATTTTCCATTGTATAGTTGCGTATTCAAATACAGTTCATATTTCGGTTCCGTTATCTGCTCATTAAGTCAATATTTTATCCTATATACTTTGAGACTGCCTCCGTGGTCTAGTGGTAGAGCGACCGCCCAGAGAGCGGAAGGTCTGGGGTTCGATCCACGACCGCGTCATACCAAAAGACATTAAAAGATGGTACTTGTTGTTACCCTGTCTGGCGCTTGGCATTAAGGGGCTAAAACAAGGACTGGTCGGCTCGGAGTCAGTATACTGTGTCTGAGTGGGGTATTCATGTTAAACTGCGGCATGGTATCTCAGTGAGCTAGCACTATAAATCGGCATCAGCCCGGACTAATACAAGCAGCCACACACACATACACGTGCATGCACGTCGCTATATAAGTGCAATAATCTTGGATGCGACGTTAAACCCCATTTCACCTCACCTCCTATATACTTTGAGTATAATTAAAAAATATAAAGTCCAATATTTGATCTGATCATGGATCACAGGTTCTTGACATAAGAATAGTAAACTGTACTCAAAAAGTTTCTAAAAATAAGGTTCTGCACATGTTTCAATCTCCAGAGCAAAAGTTATGTCCCTTGTTTTGTTTACTTAGTGTTGCAATCTTCAGAATGACACTCACAGTTTGCTTTCCACGTTTGTATTCATCCAAAACTTTTGCAATCTTGAAGCCTCCAAAGTGGCTGAATTTATATTGCGTTAGAAGGGCCGAATATTGCTGAAAATACAAAACAAATAACATGAAAGTCAAAACTCTAAAATGATAATGCTGGTTAATGCTCTGCATATTCATATCAATGATATTAAGTTTGTTTATCCATTTAAGAAAAGAAGACACTGGTTACTTTTGTACAGCACCTAATATTATGTATTGAAAATTACAATACACTGAACTACAAAAATGTCAATAAACATATTATACAAGGAAATATCTGAAATGTCTTTTTCTTCACACCTACCACCTGAATGTTTTGAATACAATTTTGTAATAAATAAATAGAATTATGTCTAAGACTTATGTAGTAAATAACAACCAGGGTTAATTTAAGACATTGTTTGCATCTGTTTACTCACCATGCACTTGTGATGAGCAACGACCCATCCTTCATCTGTTATTTCCGAGTGCAGCATCCCACAGATGTCCTCAGCATCCTTGCGTCGACAGAAACCACAAACACCTTCCTCCATAGCTACACAAACAAACCACACATGATTGGTCATCATAGTTCATACAGATGCTGCTAGTTGCCTTTTACGGCAAGCATGGGTTGCTGAAGACCTATTCTAACCTGGATCTTCACGGGCCCGTCATACACACACAGAAGAAATGTGATATCATCATTCATGTTGATGGTTGTTTGTTGGTTAACACTGCTCTTAGCACAAATCCAAGTATATGAAGGCAGTCTGTAAATAATTGAGTGTCACTCAAACCATCAAGTGATTGACATAATGAGCATCAATCCATGCAATTGGGATACAATGACACACAATCAACTAGTCACCTATAAGCATAGGTTGCTGGGGAACTACATTCTTAACCTGAATCCCCACTGGACATATGCACACAACCACAAATAATAATCATCAATACATTTCCAATATCTAACCTGTTTAGAAAAGCTATCTGAATGATGGAGACAAACAACATGAGGAAAAAACATTAAAGTGAAAGAAACAGGTCTTTACAATTCACATTTCAGTGGATCATTTTAACAGGCAAGTAATTAAACAGACTAATGACAGGGTTATCATGGTTTGTATGCTCATCAGTGTCTTCTTGCCATTAACTACTTATCAAAATTCGGCTTCTAATTGCCAATCACAAGCACTTGACTCGTGATTACGTTTTTATACGTTTCTATTATAGTGCTTGCTTTTTAACAATACGATAAAACCTTAAGAAACAATTCGCCAGGAATATTTTTACTTGCGACACATTTTAAGACTTATAAATGCTGTTAGTAAATGTGTTTGTTGATAGCTTTTTCCTTATTTTGGTTCTGACATTTAGATCTATACATTTTATGTAATCAGCTGATATCAACATATCTATTTCAAAATACCGGTTATTCGTTTGATCATGTCATCTCGACACTAACTGTTGACATCGCTGTTCTAGAATTCGGACATTGACTTGGTACGTAACGTTTTGGAGAAATGTGAAATTTTGTTTCGAAACTAGGTCTCTAAATATTTATCTCCACCATGACACGCGCGTGTGCCCATGATATCTGAAGGAAATGGTGGAGTTGTGATATAAAATAATCATCTCTATTCTCAAGGTACTGCAACATTACTACGTACTGTGTGTTGCTTGTGAACTTTTTTTCTATAAACTGATAATATTCAAACATCCATCTATCAGTAAATGGCGCCAAATTTCTCAATAGTTCCTTGCAGTAAAACATTCAGTTGACATCGTACAATTCCGTACTTAAAGGACCACGTCACTAAGATCGAGATAACTAAAAGACAAAAGACATTCCGATTGAAAACACTACTGGGCTCCGGTCTACATATTATATGTAAGAATAGAACGGAAATAACCTTGAGCGTAGAAGAAGGAAACCTTTATATAAGCGCCATCTAGTAACTATCCAGGGGAAATAACCACCACAGGCTTAAACTAGTTCCACTGTTGGTTGGCGCAGCAAGGTTGCGCCAGTGTTCGGTGGTTCTAGACTGGTACCCCGTCCTTCGCCGCCGTACAAAGTGCGCAAGCGGTCAAGGACAGGCAAACCAGTCAGTCACTGGTTCCCGCGGTGACTTGGAAATAAGACTTTGTCGCGGAGCATTTCGGGACAAACCGAAAGTTGAGTGTGAATTCAACACGTATTAATAAGGGATAAGCCGAACTCGCATCTTTCCGTAACCTTGTCCCGGTACGAACCTTTCGGCTAACCTCGCCCCTTTCCGCCCCTTTTCTTCAACTGCAAAGACGTCGATCCATTGGCCACCACTCCATTCGTCACAACTCGCCCCTTTCCGTATCTGTATTCGGCTTGTCCCGGAATAACACGAGTTGATCACGAATGGGTGTTGCTCATGAATGCATGTTAAACTTACGGAAATGTTACATGGAGGCACGAGCGCCACCTGACGACGCTGCGAAGGAATTTTAAAGTGTCAGCACTAATAATAGCATATTGGCATACGCAATAATTGAGTTTAGACAGTGCGCTATCCCCAAATAGCGAATCCATTGCTAGGCAGAGATTCTAGATCGATATATATATACATGATATTTTTCAGACTCTGCTTAAACATAAACCCTAGGTGCATGGTGCAGAGCGGCCCATGAATGCTTTCATGAATATATATATATATGTTGAGTGAGTGAAATATATATATATATATTTCATTCACGGGACCATAATGTAGATGGGTGGAGCTGTTTCAGCGAGCACCCTGTGTAAAATTACTTAACATCAGATGTGTTGTACAATTCTGTAGAAGGACACATATCGATCTACTTGATAGAATGACATATAGATCTACGTAAAGAGGGCTTGTATACTCCCATGGGACACATATAGATATACTTGAATGTGGGTTGTATGCTCCTGCAGAACATATATAAATCTACTTAAATAGAGATTGTATACTTCTGTAGAACATATATACATCTACTTTAAGAGGGGTTGTATATTTCTACAGGAGAGCAATATTCCAGCACAACTATATAACCGAGGTCCATAAATAATCGAGTCTGGACCCGACAATCCAGTGATTGATATCATGAGCATGATGTATAGTACATCCTTAAGAGTTCGCATGTATTACGTGCCATAGTTTTCATGGTAACCATGGCTGCATTTGAACAACCTATACAACAATGCAGCTTATTCTTGCAGACACCAAAGTATTATCTGTTGATGAAAATGGACAAAAATCTAACTTCAACAACCATCCAGACGGACATGGTGTCAACTTTAGGGGATGATGTTCCTTCCTTTGCCAGTGTTAGGAGAAAGACATCGGAGATAAAGAGGATAAGGGAAAGCCTCAAAGAAGAGTCAAGTTCAGAAAGACCTTTAACTGCCACCCTATAGGAAAATGCGGATAAAATACACGATATGATTATGGATGATCGACGAGTCACCACACGTCACAATTCAGTAGGCTTCTCTCATGAGAGAGTTCAGAACATTCTGAGGAATGAACTGGGTATGACAAAGGTTTCCAAGGCTTCAGACTCCTCTCCAGAAACGCTTCAGGTTCATCATCTCTCGTGAGAATTTACGTCGTTTTAAAGTGAATCCAGCTGATTACCCAGTGTGCTCACCATGGATGAGTCATGCATGGATTCACCAGGGGCGGTCGGGTAGCCCAGTGGTTAAAGCGTTTGCTCGTCACGCCGAGGACCCGGGTTCGATTCCCGACATTGGTACAATGTGTGAAGCCCATTTCTGGTGTCCTCCGCCGTGATATTGCTGGAATATTGCTAAAAGCGGCGTCAAACCAAACTCACTCACTCACTTGGGTTCACCACGACCAGCCAGAGACGAAACAAAAACTGTGGAAACATCTGACGTCTCCTAAGAAGGCACAATCTGCTCCATTAGCTGAAAAGGCGATGCTTTTGATTTTCTTTGATTCTGGTGGACTATTACATAAAGGTCGGACAATAATTCAAATATTACGCTAACCTGCTTTGGTAACCACGTGAGAATAGTACGGCTGAACGTCATGGAAACTCACTAAAAGGTGTGTTATGTCATCAGGACAATGCCCTGTTGTCGCCATGCCCGTGATGCTTGACCGTGACCTTGAATTCATTGAACATTCTCCGTATTCACCAGTTTTGGCACCGCCTGATTTCCAAATCTTCCCACACTTGAAGAAAGTACTGTCTGGCAAGCATTATGCAACGTTGTGTTTAAACGACTTGAATCAAACTTGCTATTGGACTGCCAAGAGTCTAATCCATTTTTATATGTGATGTCATTCTATTGTTTAGACGCTCCATTATTTTTCAGGAATGGAGAGTTGTTCGTCAAATATGCATTGTCTTGATTTCAATTAATTTGCACTTGGAATAGACGGAACTATTGTTAAATATTTTGACAAGGGAATAATTTGAAATTTTGTCAGAAAACTTGTGTCGCCAGCGGGATTAGAATCCGCATCGTTTGATTTGAGACGTGTAATTGTCTACCTTAGCTACGGCGACACATGACGGTATGGTGTGGAATTATAATTTTAAATATTTTCATAATTTTGCACAATGCTTAAAAGCACAAAAATATGTATACAATGTTGTGTTAGAGCAGGCAAGCTATAGCAATGTTCAGGTTTATAAACCTTTAACGAGACAAACACAAATCACGTACGGGGGCACGGGTGGCCCAGTCGTCTAAGGCGCCGCGATTCGCTGTGCAGAGTTGCGTCCCTAAGGCACACCAGAAACCTATGATTGTGGGTTCGAATCCCGGTTCGCCCCGATAATGTTTCTAGTCTTGTCAGCACCATACCTGTGCTCGTAGGTTTCACCGAAGTGGTAAACGTCTGAGACCTGCATCACTTCGGGCTTTCCTCCCACATTAAGCTGACACGCCGTGATATGACTGGAATACTGTTAAAAGCGGCGTACGTTAAACCCAACTCCCTCACTCACAAATCACGTAAACATATCCTTGTTCGGGGCGCTATATTTCCCGTCAGCATGTATTTACAATGCAAACGATTGATGAAATACTGCTTAGAACCCCACGAAATTATGAAAAGCCGTGTACAATGCACTGTAAATAACTCGTGACGGAGCTTGGTGGAGCGGCGGAGAACCGATTCCTCGTACATCACGCAAGAGCCATTCACTCAGTATAAAATAGAGACTATAAAGAGTTCTGGTTTATTTTTCAAATATTTTCCAGAAGAGAATATTTTGTCAAAGTGTCAAAGCAGGGATGTGTTTTAAGTAGGGTAATATTCCCATTACTTTCATTCCTTGAGAATAATGGGCCTAGGTCCTCGACTCAATTAAATTAAGGAATGGAGAGTTACTTGGACATTCCCCTCTACGTAACTGCTAGATTGATATGCTCTAAAACCGGATGGAATTGGCCCCCAGCAACCTATGCTTGTCGTAAGAGATCCGGTACTGTATTACATACATAGCTATATTGCATAGCCCTCTTTAAGGGTCTGTGAAAAGACTTTATAATAATTTCACTATTTACGTTTGTACAAAGGGCACGAACAGGTGAAGATCCGGGTTTGAATTTGTCTTCAGCAACTCATGTTTGTGGTAAGAGGCACTATGCTTGTCCTGAGAGTGGACTAACTGGATGGGGTGGTCAGGTCGGCTGACTTGGTTGATGCATGTCATCGGATCCCAATTGCGTGGATCGATGCTCATGATGTCAATCACTGGATTATGTGGTCAAGACTCGATTATTTAGAGACCCGTCTTACACCTGGAATATTGCTGAGTGCGGCTTTAAACAGCAAACAAACAAACAAACAAAGCATGTCATCGTATCGCAATTACGTAGATTGTTGCTCATGATGTCAATCACTGGATTGTGTGGTCAAGACTTGATTATTTACAGATCCCCGTCATATAGCTGGAATACTGCAGAGTGCGGAGTTTAACACCAAACAAAAAAACTAACACTAGTCTTGCTTGAACTAAAACATAAACCAAAATAAAGGACAATTGTTTGAAACCAGACAAAATTATTCATGTGCGTGTGTGCGTGTCGTTTTTGTTTAACACCGCAAACCAACTATATGATGGTGGCATGTAAATAATCGAGTGACTGATATTGTGAGCAACGATACGCTCCGTATGGGTACGACGCCATCTACCAAGTCACCGATCCTGACCTCACGACCAGCTTAGGTTTCTGGGGACCAATTCTAACCCAGAATCAAAGTTTTAATATTATTGGAAAAAAGTATCTCTAATATCTCCCATGATGCAGGTATAATCGAACAATGCTTCGATGTAATATAGGTAGGCCCGTGTTTAGTGGGAAAAGCCAATGTCAAAGACACCTTTTCAAGTGCACTTATATAGCGATGTGCATGCATGTGTGTGTGGCTGCTTGTACTAGTCCGGACTGATGCCGATTTATAGTGGTAGCTCACTGAGATACCATGCCGCAGTTGAACATGAATACCCCACTCATACACAGTATACTGACTCTGAGCCAACCAGTCCTTGTTTTAGCCCCTTAATGCTGAGCGCCAGGCAGGGTAACAACAAGTACCATCTTTAAACGTCTTTTGGTATGACGCGGCCCGGGATCGAACCCCGGACCTTCCACTCTCTGGGCGCACGCTCTAGCACAAGACACAGAGGCAGTCGGAAATCCCGAGGAGATGCAGACTTCAGATGACCATCTGTATTGAACCCCCCCCCAACACGGTACTGACATACCAAGGATCATAATCAGGGCGAATCTCTTCCAACCAACAATCACCAAAACCCTGGGACTGGGGAAGATGTCACAAAGCTGTCATCATGCTTGAAAAAAGTTTCTGACACAAAACAAGTGTA